TTTCAGCCACTCATGGGCCAGCTTTCCACCAGGCTGTGAGCTCGCAGATCATGTGAGCTTACTGAGAGCCCTCGCTCGCAGGCCAGTTGGGCTGGTCTGGACAAGTCCTCGGAAGAGAGTGGAACCAGAGGCTCCAGGCAGGGGAACTTTGAGCAGCTCTTTCTGCACACCTGATGGCAGATCCTTCCCTGCAGCACTCTCATGAGTGATGCTGTGGTTCTTTTCAGCTGAGCAACCCATGCTGCAGCTCTCAGAGCTGTGCGTGCTGACCCCACACTTCCAGGGCCTTCGTCTTGCGCACCACTTGGCCTCAATAAGGCTTCAGAGAAGAGACTCTGGGTGGCCCTCTTGTGGTGGACTGGCCTTCCTGAGGCCACTTTCACTAAATGAGACATGAGCCCAGAGCCGTCTCTTTATTATTTTGGTTTTATTGCCGTCATTATCAACAGCTCCCCACTCATGAATCTGTAAATGGTATAATAAAGTGCTAAAAACAAATTAGAAAAAAATGTTAACAAATTCTGGCTCTTTTTAAATAGCCCATATTTCTCAAATATGTTACTGTTTTGTTCAGAACTTGGGCCAGTACTTTAAAAGAACACAGCGTTCAAAAGTGTTTCTCTGGAATATTTCTGTCATCTGGAAATTCCTGTGTGTAAGCCCCGTGACAGATCTGCTTGGCTGAGATACCTGTTGACGTGCTACCAGCCCTGGGAATAGAAGACAGAGCCAGTCTTCCATGGTCCAGGGGAAAGTGTCCAGCACTGCCTGCAGAAATCATGCAGTAGTTCAAACATAGTAATCTATATTTGTAATTTCCAAAGATAATAAATACTCTAGGTGTAACCTTCATAATTGTGTATCTCAAAACAGAGGCTATCCAATTGATTTCAAGGAAGTAGGCCATGCAGGATGTAAACAACCAGGCTGCAGGTCATGGTGTGGGAAATCTGTAGAACTATCCCAGCTTTGTAAGGTTGTCCTTTGTAAGGATTTGTCTTTCTCCTTCAAATCCTGCAGTCTAGACTGGCACAGAGCCGGTGCTCACAACCTTTTTTAAATGGAATGCTAATGAAAGTGCCCAAGATTCTCCCTGGCAACTGAAGGTCACTTCAGATTCTGCTCAGCCACTGAGGTGATGACCTTAAAGTACCTTGAACATTCCATCAGACAGACATCAGTCTAGACACTGATGATGTGATTGTGTAATATATGTCACCGGTCATGGTGTCTCATCTTTACCATGAGGTTTTGTTTTTTTTTCTACAGAAGCCATTTTCCTAGTTTTTCACCTCTTTTCCAGTGAAAATAAAATGCCACACCCCTTTCACTATTAAGTATGCTTATAGCATAAAGGAAGTGGCAATTTATGAACAACATAAGCAAGAAGTCATAAGCTTCCTAATCTCATAACAACCAGAACTGCAACAGTGGTAAATAAATGTCTGCTCTGTGAATCTTCAGGATCGTCAAAATGACAGGAAACCGTAGACTGTGTGTGCTGTCATGGCAAAGGCCGTGCTGCTCTGTTCATCCCCAGAGATTTTCAAATGTTCCGTTAAATCCTCTCGTCTTCATGTTTTGACCCAGCACTTGTATTTGCTAAGGACACAGCCTCCTCCAGAGTCATCAGCATAAACACTGGGCTGTGTGACCGTTGTCATCTCCCTCTTCTAAGCCCTGAAGAAAACTAAATTTAAAACAAAGCCAGAAAGCAGTCTCTCACTGCCTCTCACAGCCAGCGTTCTTCCTCCTGGGCTTCACTCCCCTCTCTTGAACGGCTTGGAATGTTAACCTCCAGGGGGCTCCCCCAGGAGTGAGAGACCTGGATTCTATTCTTGGTGCTGCTGGTGTTTGGCTCAGTGACTTGAGCTCATGACTTCGCCCTGGGACCTACGCACTCCTGTAAAATGAGAAGGTGAGATGGGTGATTTCAGGGGCTCCTTCCAGCTCCAGTGCTCTGCAGGTCTGGCAATGCCACTGGTGGCATTTATGCATTTAGCGCCTCTCTTTACCCTTTACAAATAGCTCTAGCTTATGGCTTAAAGTTATGATTAAGGCGAAATCTCTCTACATCTTTTACTATCATTTTTTATGTTTCTTGACAGCACCTGGTGTTTCTACATTACTTTCCCATTAAGTATTGTTATATGCATTTCTTTACATATGTATTATACATTGCAATAGACTCAGTAGTTCCCCAGGTAGGAAGTTGTAGTGCTTTCTGAAGCAGAGTGCAGTCACTTGGTTAATATTTGCATTCAAAAGTTTAAGTGTTCTAATGGATTAAACACAACTTGGGTTATACAACAAATTCCATATTTTTTCTATGAGGCTTTTGGCCATCTTGACCACGTTAGGCCTGTCACCACCTCATGCCTGTCATACATGTCATTTTATGCATATGGTTACAGGAACTTTTCTGAAACAAAACTGGGGGAGAAAGATCTGAAAATAGCTGTTGCTTTCAGACCCAGTCATCTGATTGACTTACCTGTGAGATGGGGCCAAAACACATGGTGAATGTTTAAATTGACAGAAATACATTACAGTAAAATAAAAGATGGACATTAATCTCACCAAAAATATTTCCCGTCTCTGAACATACCTCCCATCATCTTTCTTCCCACTTTCTAAACATTTCTGAAAATTCCCTTTTCTAAACATCCTTAAGAGGAGCAATCAAAACTGCGGTCAATTTTGCCCAAGTCTGCCCACCTAAGGAAAGGCAGGCTCCTCATGATGGGGCCCTTTCCACCTGCTTCATCAAATCAGATGGCACTGTGTGATTTCCAGCTCTTCCCCGAAGCAAAAGAGTGTGACAGGTGAACATTTGGAATCAATTCAGGCCATCAACGCATAACTAAAGACAGTTTTGAAAGAGGACTCCAGAGTTGCTCAGAAAGTGGCAGAGCGGTGAAATAACTATGTTGGAAATGATGAGAAATAGCTTGAGGGTGTTTATTGGCAATTTGTCTTTTACTGTAATGCTTTTTAAATTCCATCATTCACTGCAGTTGTTTTGTTTTGTTTGTTTTGGTACTCAGTGGGATCAAATTCAGGACCTTGGGCTTGCCAGGCGATGCTCATGCCCCTGGGCTATCTCCTTGGCCCTTCACTGCCATTTTTTATCATATTCTACACATGTTAAGCTCAGCTGTCCCAGCACAGGAGACGCGCTGTTTGCGTGACTGTCTGTAGTGCTGTGAGTTGGGTGTGATCTCTCCTTGACTTAGCCACACACTGCATGTGTCTTGGGGGGGACTTGGAGAGAGGCTGTTTCTTCCCAGGAGACTGGTGGGAGAAGACCTTTACCCGCGTATAAAGCACATGCATTGCTGAGAGGGCTGGATGAGAAGAAAGCATAGGGAAGCTGGGCCACTTGCTAATCCTGCCTCGCTGTTTTTGTGACTCCCTTCATCCTTTCCCTGGAGTCATTGCTGTGTTTTGCTAAGGCTGGAGGCAGACAGGAGCTAGTGCTGACCACTGACCATGTGCCTATGATTGTGGTCAGCCCCTTCCAGTCCTGCAACCTTCTGAAGCAAATGAGTACCCATTTAAGGAAGAACCAGTGCTGCTCAGTTAAGTAGAATTGAAGCCTGGGTCTCTGACAAAACTCCAGAATCTCCAGTTAGGGAAACCAATTCCAAGCCCTTGTTCTGCACCACACAGATATGGGTCTATACACTTTGGCAAGATGCTTTAACTTTCTTTCCAAAGACAAGACTGCAAGATTGGATCAATATTTCAGACACAGTTACTGAGAGGATGACCTAAGATAACTATCTTCCAAAGTCCTTATCTAAAGCTTAGAGAGAACTACCTCCCCAGGACTAATTGCTGTTGTTACCAGATTGTGGTGGTTGTGGATGCCATTGAGATTCTGATGCCAGATTCTCTGATCACGGGGCAGGATTCCTTTCACTTGTCCTGTGTGTACTGAAGCCCAGTTATGGAACAGATCGCCATTAGCCAGCATTTTAGATACTCATGAAATATGATCAGGAAGCCAGCAAAAGTAATAGGAAAGTGAATATGCAATTCATCAGTGATCATACAGGAGGAGCTCCCAACTTGAAAATAAGACCCGCTATTTAAACTTGAATCTTTTCCTGTTGGCTGAGTGAGACACAAATTCACTTGAGACTTTTTTTTTTAGTATATTAAGCCAGTCATCATTAGCTACATGTCAGTACAAGGCCCATCAGAAAAAGAAAAATAAAAAGGATGAGTGAATGAATAAATACATAAACGAATGTACGTTGCTGGGGAGGCCAAGTCCCCTAGCATTTCCAGAACAGGCTGACTTGGTCATGCTTAGGGAGCATTTCCATACTCTTGAGCTACCTTTCTGCAGGACACTTCAGTTGAAAATAAATACAAAGCTATCTCGCCATTGCTTTTCTTGATTCCCAGAAGAAACGGTACGATCCTTTAGCATCCTCCACTCCCCCGTCCCGTGAAGACAGCACCATCAGTGTGGAAGCAGGCACCATGCTGTCGCAGAATCATGCAGGGCTACAAGGCTGCTCTATATGTAGGGCCCATTTCCCTTTTATTGAGTGACAAAATTGCAGTAAGTTTTCACACTTCAACATTATATGTAGATCAGTGAATTAAAAATGGACATATGTATAATCTAGCCATACATATATAATATACCACACATGTATACTAACCACTTCCCATGATGTTCTGCTACATCCAGTCTGAAATGTCTGAGTCTGTCCTGATAACCAGCTGAGGAAGGGGAGAGAGATGTGCAGGGAAAAGGATAATTTCTACCCATAAGAAATGAATTTACTTTTCCTAATAAAAGAAATCTAAACTTGGCTATTGTCATCATGTAATGTTAACCACCCGCTCTTTTGGCAAGTGTGAAAACACTGGGCTCCATTATAAAAGTTAAAAATGTCCTGGGCCTGGAGTTGTTTACCCAGTAGGAGCTGCTCTAAAGTTACAGAGCGCTGGTTGGAAGCAGGGGCAGAAGGCCGGCTCCAAGTCACTGACGTCACTGGAGTCTCAGTGGCTGCCGTGACACTGAGCTCAGCTCTTGGACTTCTGAACGTGGTGAGGGATTCAGAGGGACTCATCAGTACCGCTCTGTGGGATGGTTTGGCTGCCACCGGATCCCCTTCCCCTTATTTCTGTGTAGAAGATTTAGAGAGCTGAGCTTTGGTTTGGAGGCAGCTAGCTCCCTGCTGTGCTTGCCGTCAGAAGATGACTGACTGGTGGCTGAGCTCCTGCCAGATGACCCCCCAGGACAAAAAGGTATGTTGCCTTCTGACAAATTTAGAAGAAGTGACTCATGCTAGCAAGATATGGAGGGGCTGCTGCTGAGGCACTGTAAACTGGGTGCTGTGAGGTGGAGCGTGATTTCAACATCTGCTTGCACAGGTGCTGGGTCTGAGCTGAAGGACAGTGGGCGGGTGTGTAACGGATTGTGCTGCCTGGGCACGAGGCCTTTCAGCTGCTGAGGGGGGATTTGCAAGCCTGGACTGACAGTGCCATCCGCTCCTGGGATGGTGTTTCTCACACTCTGCTTCTCAGTCATTGAAAAAGCGCTCTGTCCATCGGGGGGTTTCATTGACACCACTTACTAGAACATAGTTTGTGTTAGGATAAAGCCTTTTAATATTGGAGATTAATATTCACGACCCTTGAGACTGTCACTGTTTGAAAGTTGCAACGAAAAATTGTGGTTTTCTCAAAGACGATGGCATGCACACAGGGCAAGTGCTTCTGCAATTTGAGTTGAAAGCCAAACCTTTTGGTAAGGAGGAAATCTTACCACTGTATCTTCTGTCCAACCTTTTGGACATGTATCTACGCAAGCCAAAAGTCTTTGTCACGTTTTACTATGAAAAGTAAAAATGGGGTGTCTCTAGCTCTCTAGTTTGAGTAAATAACTGGTGAGACAAGAAGGAAAGAAATGATAATTAGGTGAGAAACTAAGCTGGTTGCTTTCAAGTTGCAAGGGGTTGTGTCTCCTTGACCTTGTTGGAATAGGGAGATTGTGCTGAGCTAGCAATAAAAAGCAACACTAAAAAATGTCCTTTTCCTGTAACAAAATGGAATCAGGCTGGTCTCTGGAAAGACATGTTTCCTGAGCAGCAGAGGAAGAGCAGGATCTGTTAGTTAGTGGAAATGAGGCAGGCAGCTTAGAAGAGCCTGGAAAGAGAGGCAGAGAATTTTGGAAGCAAGTGGTGCGCTGCTCAGGCAGGTACCGGTGTGGGAATTCCTAATTCCTCCAAGTCCATAGTAAGAAGCAAAACATCTTAGGGTCAAATGACTTCTAGGAATTCCGAGACTGTGCAGAGCACTCCTGTTGGGACATGCAACCTCTGGTAAATGAAGCATCTTCAATTATGTGAACAGTAGAATGTTTACAGAAAAGAAAGGGAGCACAAAAGCGAAACAAACAAAAGCCAAGCACACAACTGAACAAAAATCTCCAAAGAGAAGTAGCAACAAAGTCACCTCTCTGTGAACCGATTGAGTAGAATCTTACATTTGGTGAGTAAGGCAGATGTTGGAAGGGTAATTGCCAAGCACATTAGAAAGGGAAGAGACTGTCACCAGGACAAACAGAGGTTAATTTGGGGATGCAAGTAGCTTACTCTGAAGCTCATGTGTTGCCCTTAGAATCTGCTTACCGGTAGGGCTGGAGGCTAGCAACCGCACTCGGCACACTCGCGGAACCACTGACAGTTCCAGATGTCCAGCCCTGGGAGAAGGCTCTGGCAGGGACTACGTACCATCAGCTTGGCACGGCGGGGGCAGGGCGTGTTCCGGGCGGCTCAGCGCAGCTCACTCTGACCTTTTCCATTTGTCCTAATAAATTTTCATTCTGAATGAAATTCTGGAAAGAGTGACATGACATGGAGAGCAAAGAGACACTTGCGGGAGGAAAACAAAAATCATTCCCTCCCACATAGATGCCAAGATCTGTGGGAAGAGGAGAAATTCCTAGGAACAAAGAGAACATTTATATTTTCCTCCGTGGAGACGCAGAAACTGATTTTTTAAATCACAGATCCATTTCACCCCATAACTCTTCGTCACAGAATATTGTGTCTCTACCAAGTTTGGACTTTTTACATATATTAAATTTAGAAATACAGCCAAAGATTTGTACTTAATATTTTGCTAATAAAAATTGCTCCCTAAATAGGTAATGTTGCCTATGTCTTTAAAAATATTTGAAAACACTAAGGCAAAGGAAAATTGTGGAGAACAGGAGGAGCATTTATACCATAAGACTTGTGTCTTTCCATTTTCTAATTAAAGATTAAAATAATCAATTTAACTCCAGACAAAGAAAAAAGGATACTGGCCCGGGGAGGTAGTTCAGTGGTCTAAGCGCCTTGCCTGGCAAGTGCAAGGACCAGGGTTCAATCCCCGGTACCGTATGCCATGTTGGCCCTGCCTGGTGGAACCGGGTGTGATGGTGCATGCCTGTAATCCCAGTGCTAGGAAGGCTGAAACAGGAGGCTCACTATGAGTACGAGCTGCGTAGTAAGCCACTGTACTAAATAAATAAGTAAATAAATAAATAGAAGAGGGCTGGGGAGATGGCTCAGTAGAATAAGCACTTGCCTGGCAAGTGCAAGGGCCTGAGTTGAATCCCCAGTTCTTGAGAAAAAAAAAAAAGATAAATACATAGAAGAAAGAAAGAAGAAAAGAAAAAGAAGAAATAAACCAAGGGCCAGCCATTTCTCAAGCATTCGTTATGATTCACACAGTATAGATACTTTTTTTAAAAGCATTCTCTCTGTTGCTGAAACTTCTCAACAATCCTCTGTTCCCTTTGTTTTTACAAGAGGAAGTAATCATATATTCAGCTTTATTCCACTTAATATTTATGACTAGGCTAAAATGCTAGGAAAGCTAACTAAATTCTCCCACAAAAAAAAAAAAAAAAAAAAAAATTGGCACAGACAGAGATTTCTTGCAAAGCCTTCCTTTGATCCAAAACCATTACATTTTCTGGCGGTGGGACTCACTCTGGCCCTGGAGTGGTGAAGCCGTGCACCTTGGCCCTTCTCCCGAGTAAGTGAGGAGCTTGGCTCATAGCAGATGAGCGAGGGATTCCAGGAATGTTACGTGGGCTCCTAGGGAGCCCTCTTACGAGGAGCAAGACTTAGTCAGAGTGTGTTTGAGTGATCATCGGTAGATAAAAAGAAGTTCTGGCACTTTTTAAACTGATAGAGAAGTGATTCAAGAAGAGTTTGAACAGAAAGCACAAGTTGAGTCATTTGCTCCATAGTTATAAGAAAACTGTGATGGCTTCTGAACATTTCTAGTGTGTGAAGGCAGTTGACATAAAGCATGGAATGTCTTAGCGTCTTTCATCAGGACTCTTGCGATTAGTGTGCTCCCTTTTTATAATTTCTCTGATTGAATCTGTGGCTGCCTCTCAATATTTCAGACTACTTTACTCTTCCTAAGAAATTACAGTGGCAAATAACTTTAGTCAGCAAGACAGCTTTTGCTCACCTGGGAATGGGTGTTCGACAAACCTACAAGATGACTAGGTAACCAAGGTCAGTGCACGTTAGGTTAACCAACACAGAAAAAACAAAGTTTTTTTTACACATGTTGCTATTTTCATTTTGTTTGACCTTTGTTGACATTTATTCCAGGAAGTACTTCTAGCTACTGTTGTGAGGGTCCCTAGGAACAGAAGAAAGGATGACACAAGAGAGAAGTTGAAGTTAGAAACAAACATAAGAGAATAAAGTAAGACACAATAATATCTTTGTAATGAAGTGTAGAACTACTTTTTTTCTCTTTTTTTTTGTGGCTTTTCTTTTTTTTCCATAATTTTATTGAGAAACAAATAGTAATGAGACAGTTTCAAACCAAATTGGTAGGACAGTTTCAATAATTTATACATTGCATACTCTCTTCCTAGTGGTTATTTGCTGTACAAGATGCAAACATGATAACCTATTTACAAACACTATTAGAACAAATCCCTCTATTCATTAAGAGAATGTAGCTATATATCTATCCTAACCATTTTGAATACACAGGTACAAAATGGACATTCATCTGTATCCCCTTTTTTGTTTAGTTCCGTCATTTGTATTTTCTTGAATTAATCATGATATTGTGTGTGTAAAACAGCAGGTACAAATTACCAACCTGTCTATAGCAAAGAGTTTGGGAGAACAGATGGCTCTGTGCTCATGTGCTGAGAGGGAGACAGATCTTACATTGGCCTCAGTATTGTTGGGACTTTTCTGAAGGTGGAGGCTGCACATAGAGGTCCACTTCCTAATGCTCATTAGGCTTATAATTCATTGATGGACTTTAGTTCAAATGTAGGCATATATTTACATACCTGTGTGTGTTCAACGCCATCTCTCATTCCAGTCTGTATGTTCAGGACAGCTTGACATAAGTAAGTTTAGGCCTTGATGATGTGTATCTCATTTGGGAGATATCAATATGCCTCTGTATTCTATGGATACAAAGAATATCCATCTATGCCCATGGTATATTGCTTGCTGAAAACTTTATCCATAATTAGCATGAATGGCTGTTGGTAAGTTACTGTGTCTTGGTAACCCAGCTAGTAAAGACATATGACTTAATAAAAACTACTTGAAGTTTAAATCAAAGCAAGATTTTAATGCAAAAGAACAAAAGAAAAAGCATCAGCTGGGGGTGGTAGTACATAGCTGTGATTCCAGGGCTTGAAGAGCTGAGGCAGGATCGCTCTGAGTGTGAGGCCAATCTGGGCTCAAGGCCAGCCTGAAATACAGAGCGAGACCCTGTCTCAAACACTCAAAAACAAATTTTTAAATGTCTCATACTTCTTTGTATTCAGTATGTCATTTAATGTTTCTGACTGCTCTGTGGATTCTTAGAAGAAAGTGGTGTTTTAAATTGTATTTTCAAGCCCTAAATATGCACAGCCCAAATGTTAGCAATCTAATTATTTCAATAAGAAGATGCTCTGAAAACTGAGCAAAATTTTTCTTGAATTCCTTCTATTCAATGTCCTAAATAGGTTTTTATTCGTATCTTATCATTGGAAGGAAAATAGAACATTACTAAATTTTGATATATGTCTTATAGGGCAGTTTTGTTGAATTTAGTTTTTACTTGATGAACTAAAATAATGTTTGCTGTGGATTGGCTTCTTACCGATGTGTCGGTCTCCAGAGTTGAGCCCCAGCTTGGGGTCCTGGCTGGTGTAGAGATACCATCTGGCGTGGATTTGCTCTCTGAGGACAGAGCTGTGATCCTAGGTCAGTCCTGCCTCAGAGCAGAAGGAGTAGTTAAGTCATGCAGATATGACTATGCAGTTGAATTCCATGTTTAAATTCTTGTATGTCCATAACATATTGTAATTTTTCATTAGGCAGGTAGTTACAGAAATATCTATATATACATGTGCATTTACGCATCTTGTTCATTATAACCATTGCAGTCTTGTCTCCAAAAGGGAAAAGATTAAAGACAACAGTGATTATTGACTGTATTTATTTCTTCTTAAGCCCATTGTTCTCATCTCTTCTTTCAAATCCAGTTTTCCTATGGTCTATTTCAGCAGCTCATGACAAAATAACCCAATATGTTTTCAGAAAGCACACAAAGTGAAACCCTTTCTTATGTTTATATTAGGCTTTATTTTAAAGGCAAGAGACTGCTTCACATAAAACAACTCCAAGCTTCCATGAAACAGTGGAGAGAAAGCAGAGACAAGCAGAAACGCTCCTTCTCTGACACTCTCACGGTCACCATGGACCTGCAGAAGCAATGGGAGAACACAGGGACTAACTGGCACAAGGAAAAGATGGAATTGCTGGACCAGTTTGACAATGAGAGGAAAGAATGGGAAAGTCAGTGGAAAATCATGCAGAAGAAGATAGAAGAGGTACATATTGATTTATTTTGATGTATCGTTCAAACTCAGAAGGAAATGTTTGTTTTGTATTGGATACTCTTTCTTATGTCATTTATAACAGAAGAGGTACATGTTTCTGTAACATTTACTGGACCAAAAATAACATAGCCTTACCGAGTGGCACCTTTGGGACCATACTCAATTTGTAGTATATTGACCTCAACCTTTTACTGCAGAGTGCATCTATGCGTGATTTTCAGGGTGGAGACACTTGGTATCAAATGTGCTTGTAAATACGAGGGCCCATGAGTGCAAATTCAGGGAATATATAATTTGTGGAAAACATATTAGAAAAAGTGCACTTGGTCATTTAGAATATAGATTTCCTGAGCAGATGTATGAGTAATGTGTGGCAAAGGAAATCCTATGTTAGATACTTCAGTGCAATCAAAAAGGGTGATATATCGAACAAAATGGCAGTGGATGTGAGATATTTTTCTGGAAAGGTGTGCTACACTTATTAGAAAAGGGATTGTGAAAAATGACCTGTCACAACTGGTACGCTTGCTGTGTCCCCCTACACTCTCCCTCAGCCTATGAGCCCTAGATGGTTACCTTCAAGCATTTGCCTTGGTGTGCATTCAAACTTGCTCAGAAGGAAGATGTTGACACTCACCTTGCCTTATTCTGGTAACTCACAACACTGACTCATAGGGCTTTATGTCGCCTACCAAAGCAGTAATATAAGCAGATTCATTAACTTTTGTTTGCAGGCAGGAAAAATAAATGTTTTCAATGTTTATAATGAAAACATTTTTTTTCTTATTGACAACCAAGTAGGTGTTTATGAATAAAATAAAAATGGACAAATTTGCCAGTCCAAATAAAAGAACAAAGAAACGAGAAGGTGGTCCTCTGCAGTGTGAGCGGAGACTAAATGACAGATCCACTCCTTGTCCCTTCGGAAGTAGGAAAATGTGTTCTTTTTTTCCCTTTAACTCCTCTCTCTACCCAGAGGCGGAGATTGGATCAATCAGGAGACACCTTTGTTAAATCAGACACTGAAGCTTTAATTCAATCAGATACTGACTTAGTCATGGATCACGGATCTCCAAAGTTTTGGGAGGTCCAGATGGTAACAATCCTAGATAATTTTAGCATCCAAGAAATTAATTACCTCCTGGAGGATTGGTATAGTCCATTACTTAAGCTATGTAGCTAAAATAATCTGCTGATTGGTTAAATTTGCTATTGTTCAATAATTATTCTGATAACTACAGATACCATGTGTGGTAAATATTAGCCTTATCAATTAGAAGGCAGTACCTGCTTTCTTTTGGGCCATAACAGATAGTGGCCCTTCCTGTATTAGGAGGGCAGAAGGGGCTGCGACACTTTTTGTCATCTTAGCTATTACATTATTATATCTTGCTGTCTGCAGTAGAAAGCTAGATAGTTCGAAATATGGATAGATAAAGTGCTTACACAAAATGTAGATGAACACTTTTCAGTATATGAATACTATCAGTGTGTGTGTGTGTGTGTGTGTGTGTGTGTGTGTAAAGGGCCTTCTTATAGGCTACATAGCCGGAGTACACACACTGAGAAAAAGGAAAGAAGAAGCTATTTGCACATATCACAGAGAAGAATCAGGGGAATTTTCTGACATTAAAATTAGAAAGTCAACACTTACAACATTGTATCATTCCACAAACATAACAGATTGTATTCTTTAATGTGCATGACTATATTTTGTGTATTAAATCAGATGCAGTTTTGATCCATGTGCAAGAGAATTAGAGATTTAGTGTGTGCAGAGGTTTTAGTATCCAATAAATTAATTACCTCCTGGAGGATTGGTATAGTCTATTACTTAAGCTATGTAGCTAAAATAATCTGCTGACTGGTTGAATTTGCTCTTTTTCAATAATTATTCTGATAACTACAGACACCATGTGTGGTAAATACTAGCCTTATCAATTAGCAGGCAGTACCTGCTTTCCATAGGGCCAAGAGGATTAGAGAGGTAGTGTATCCAGAACTTCAGTAACTTCAGTGGTGATGTCTCTTAGGGAGCACACGTAGCCTTAGGCTTCAAGACACTCAGGATTCTCTTTTCAGTCACTATCCACAGTCATTGCTCTCACTATGAAAAAATTAAGATGCACACACTTAACGCCTTTGGAACTTAGAATACTGGAAATAAGAGTCTGGGCTATTTAGACAATGGTAGCACAGCCATCTGAGAAAAGTGCTGGTCTCAGATTGCAGTCTTCCCTCCTCATCTCCTGTAATAGAATGATCAGATAGCCGTTGACAAGACCTGAGCACCAGGTAAGTCAGACTCCCTTATGCGAAGCAAATAGTTTTCCATTAATTGCCTTAGGTTATGTGTTTATTCACTCCTCACCTATGCACTCAGGAGGATTTACAATGCAGTAAAGGCACATGTAAGAGAAAGTATGCAGTGCAGACAGAGAGGTGACCCAGAGGCCACAGGAAGGCTCGTATGTCAAATGCAACAACGATGCTGTTTTTCTGGTAGCTAACGTAAAAATTTGCAAGTGCTTGTTTGTCCATATTAAGAAGACAAAAGGCAATCTATTTCCAAGTAATAACATTTCCCCTCCTTATTCTGAAACCAAAAGTATTTTGTTTTCACCCATGACTTCTCCAGAAAAGGTCAACATCATCAACAGCATCCTTAGCTTTAACACATCACTTCGTAGAGTTGCTCTTTACAATCCCCCTCTAGGTGAGCCCCCACTGCATCATGAACAACAACTCAGTCGATAATCTTACATACACTGCTGATTCACAGCTATTATTTGGTGCTGCTTTGACCTTTTGCAGTGACAACTTATACATTTAAAAATATTAAGAGAATAAATCACCGCATATCCCTCAGGCATCAACTGTTTCATGCTTTTCTCCACTGAGTTTTAGGTGAGTGTTAAGCACCAATATACTTGTCCTTAATTCCTTGAATAAGAAGACACGTTATGTAGATGCCGGTTGTGGCTACAGAGTGCAGTCAATTGTGTTAATATTCACCCAAAAGCCTCTTTGGAAATTTCACAAGCTTCCCCAAGACTCAAGCCTCAAAAGAAGGCCACTTTCCTTCCTGTGGCGGGGAGTTAGCTCAATGTCTGCAGCCATAGCAAATATCTCACCAAGAAATAATTTAGGATCCTCTTCCTATACAGGTAAATGGATGATCAAAGCCTTAGGACTCTGTCATCACATTTGTTTTATCCTAAATGAGAAACTTTCTTTCTTTCTTTCTTTCTTTTTTTAATATCTTTGGTTGTTGCAGGGTTTCACTATGCAGCTCAGACTAGTGGTGATCCTCCTGTTTTCAGCCTCCCCAGCACTAGGATTACAGGCGTGCACCTGCATGCCAGGACTCTGGCCGGCTGAGCCTGCCCTGGGGATGGGGTTGGCGCGGCATGGGGTGCCAGGGATCAAATGACGGTCACCTGCGCTTGCCCAAGCAGGCACTTAGTCTGCTGAGCTATCTTGCCGGCCCAGAGAAACTTTCTTTAGATTGTGAATATGCTTGGCATCAAAAACATCTCAGTAATCGGTAGCCCTCCCCTGCGTAACTGGCTGACCAAAGGAAACATTTGCTGATGACCAAGTGCCTATTCAGGGAGCCAAGTGAATTGGCATGAGATGATCTGCTGTATAAACAGTTAAATGTTTGTGTGTAATCAAGGTCAGATGTTTAAAATACATGATTTTATTGTGAATTGAACTCTTGGATGTTTCTGAAGTGACTGGAAACTTTCTGATTTTTGACAGTGCCGCTGCCCCTCTGTGTAGGTACAAGTTTCTTGTACTTCTCATTGAGTTGATTTTCTGTCCAGAACACAGAACTTAGCATCAGTGTGCTATTCCACTAACAGCACCCTCCCGCACGTACAAGGAGCTACTCAAGAGTCGGGATAGTGAATGGTCATGTGGCAGAGAGGACTCAGAGTGGCTTGCTTAGTTCTAAAAAAGTACCAACAAGACAGCGAGGGCAAAAGAGGTTTGGTTTGGTTTTCCTGCAGCTTTGCCAGGAAGTAAAGCTTCGGAGGAAGATGAACAGGAGCGAGCGCGCGAAGGCGGCTGCTCCTGGTCGCGGGAAGGACGCTGGGGACGAGCCGTGGGCATCTTCTCCAAAGGGGCCCGGTTCAGGACGGCGTGAAGTCGCAGAGGTGGACCACGGTGGGGCTCGGAAAGAAGGACGCGAGACGCAGCAGAGGCCACGCACAGCCTGGGCTACAAGGTGAGCGCAAGGCTAGCCTGAACTGCACAGTAAGACCCCATCTCAAAAGGAGGAGGAGGAGGAGGAGGAGGAGGAGGAGCCCGGGAGCGGCTCCGCGGCGGCGGCGGCGGCGGCGGCGCTGGGCTCGGTGAGTACCCCCCGCGGGCTGCGCCTCCGCTCCCACGCGGGCTCCGGGCGCTAACCTGCGCTTGCCTCTCTGTGCAAAGGCTCTCGAAGAACTCGCCAAGGTGAGCGAGGAGCTGTGCAGCTTTCAGGAGGAAATTCGAAAGCGGGCTGGCCACAGAAGGTGAGCGGGGCCTGGCGCGGGGTCCGGGTTAGAAAGGTCAGAAGGGCTGTGAGCCGCCTCCTTACAGCTCCCTAGTGAGAATCAGCGAGTTCTTAAAATCTGTGTTGGCTGGAAGCGGACACCCCTGCCGTGCGCTTCTCTGCTCACTAATTCTTAAAACAAATCTTCCAGTTCTCCTTACGATCAGGTGATGAGGGGTGCTGTTTTCTTGGTAATTACTTCAGTAAAGCTTCCATAAAAAATTAAGAAATATCTTCATAACATTCTTTTTAAATTGCATTTTATTGTCAAGTGAAAAAAACTGCTTTACCCGACAACGTTTGCACCATCAACTCTCTGGAAGATTTGAAATTATTACTACAGTTATTGGCAGATTAAGTGTAAGAATTAACCGCGCGCACGCGGTGCTCTGCCCGCACCTGCTCCTGCCTTGGTCCTCGCCCTGAACTCTCCTCCCTTCCTCCTCCTCCTCCTCCCCGCCCTCAGCACCCCTCCTCGGGCCTAGTGACCCCTCTCCTATTTTCAGGTTGTCTTTCTGTTTCTTTCAACAAGTACCAGACAAAGCATGATACTTGTCTGTATCTCGTTTATGTTGCCCAGTATTCACTTCACTGCAAATGACAGGAATTGTACTCTTCTTCATTGCTGAGTAATGCTCCATTTTCTAAATGTACCATATCTAATATAATTCTCTTTCATTTTGATTATTTGGCCAGTGGAAGAGTATACCAGTGGACTTATCCCATTACATACAACTTTAAACTATGGCATAAGTTACGAATGTGGTATGATAATTGTATTTGATGTTCTACTGAAACACTTCACACAAAAGTCACTTCTCTACAATTGGTGTTTACACAGAAAGACATATGTAATGGAATTTTCAGGATACAATATGATAAATTCGTTCACCGTACAGTGCACACAGTGCTGTTGCAATTCAAAAAGAATATGGAATTGTGAAAGGAAGTTGCAACAAATTACAATTCTCAAGTCTTTGCATGAGCAACCAAAATGGGTTATGCCGATGTCAGTCCCTCCCCTGAGGGAGCTGCGTGCTTCTTTTATAAGCGACCATAGAGCTTCATTAATTTTCTTTGGCTCTTCAGAAGCTCAGAGAGAATTTTTGTGCAGACCATCAGGGGATTTTTCTAAACCAGCTGTGTTTTCTACACAGTTTTGTCCTCCACTGGCCCCTTTAGCTTTTCCTCTGATTTTGAAAAACAAAATTATTTAGTTTTTTATTTTTTATTTTAGGATAGGGTGTACAGGGTCTCACTGCATAGATCGGACTCATAATGATCCTCCTGCTTACAGCCTCCCAAGTGCTGAGATTACACGTGGGCACCACCACGCCCAGTCTCAATCGCAGTCTTAGCACATCCTGGGAGTGGGGCCAGCATGGCAGGCCTGGGGATCAAACTCCCAGCCCCTGTTTTCCTCCTATTTTGATGGTGGACATTTCTCTGCACTTTGTTGTAAGCTAATTCTTTGTAAGTTGAGTAAGTAGAAGCCACTTACATTTATTGATACGATGGAGCTTGTTTGTCAGTCTGCGCTCACACTGTATTTGAGGTTTCTCCTGAGGTGACTCAGACTCAGAAATAGTCCTATTGTCCAGTTTTGGTTTACACATAGCACCTGCTTCAGAACTCACATAGTCACACAATGGCTTGTGGAAAAGAGCTGCGAAGCTTCCACGTGTAATTCAGAGACGGCGCAGTGTTGCCACAAGACATCACACACTGACCTGACTCCTCGCATCTTCCGCTGTTCACTCCCCTCTGCTCCAAATACCCCCACCGAAGCGCTCCTTGTTTCTTGAATGACTTCGCTGTTTTGGGCACAGCTCACTCTAGCTGTGTGCTCTTGCTGGACTCACCAAAAATAAATAAATAATATATAGAAAAACGTACCTTTTTCTAATTTCAAGTGACACCTCCCATTTGGAATTACTTACGTTTCATTGTACTTTTATTCAGATTTCTATCTTACTACCTAATTTGTTATTTCAATTCAAGAGGAGGAAGTTGAACTCCCATTACTCGATGAGTAGGAATCCCAAAGGCGAGGAGGAGGTAAGGAAAGGGCGAGAGAAAAGCTATAGAAATGGGAAGTCAGTAGCAGAAACAAGAGTTGGCACAGTGCTTTCAGGGTTTACCCTGAAGTTTCAAGTAGCAGCAAAAATGATAAAGGCTGGAAATATGGCAGCGTTCACAGAGCCGTCATGTAACACTGAGTGCTGACCTTCACCTACGATAAAGGGGATTTGAAGTTTTTAAATAGGACATTTACATAAAAACAGTCTTGGAGGAAACTGTGACTGCCTTTTCCGTAGCCGAAACCCATTTTCTTTAAGGAGCTCACCCTAAAGGAAGCTATCACTAAGGCATCCCGTCTCCCCATTGTCTAGGATGAAGTCCGACTCTTTTCTCCAGGATGTGCCCAATGCAATCAGTGTACCTCAGGGGACCCACTTGATCAACAATGGCCAGTACATTTTTCCAATCAATTTAGAGAAAATGAAACAGAAAAACAGAAAGAATCTGAGCGGTACTGGTGTGTTCCGAAACAACTCTGTAAAAAGTTGTGGAGTTGGTGCAATCGATTTGCAAAGACATGAAACCCCACCAGTTCCTCCTCCAAGGAGCACATCTCGAAATTTGCCCAGCTCATATTCTGAACAAGCCCAAGAACAACTGAAAGGAAGTGTTGACCACCTCAGTGGGGTAGCCTGTGGGGGTCACAGTCAAAGAGACAGCCAGCCTCCCTTTCTTTCAAGGCAGCATGAGCTACCTACATTGGGTCCAGATAAAGGGAAGACCATGGAAGATAGTGTCATGTTTTCCTCGTTGACATCAGAAACACAAATAGCTAAGAAGCCTCCAGGTAGTGTTAGACATGGTGTGACCCCATGTGACATTGCGATAGATGCCACAAAGAGCCCCTCCACTTTGTGGCCTCAGAATACCTGCTCTCCCCCTAACAAGCCACAGTTTGAAAATGTGGTTTCAGATCACCCTGCTAAATCTCATCCTGTTCTTCATGTAAGTAATGACAGTAGTTCCTCGGTGGCACAGGGCAGTGGCCCACCGAGAAGTTTCAGTTGCGGCTTTGAAAGGACCACAAGAAACGAGAAGCTGGCAACAAAGACTGATGAGTTTAACAGAACTGTGTTTAGGACAGACAGAAATTGTCATGCAACACAGCAAAAGCGAAGCTACTCGCAATCATCTGAAGATAGAAAGCCTTCTGATATCTTCGCTCCTCCTGTAGGGGGCATATCAGAAAGTGACGATATGACTGATCTGAAAACCAGTGCCCGTGTGCCTGAACCCAGGGAAAATGTGCCTGATAACCACACCACGAATTCCACAGCTGGCCTGGTCAGACAAACGCAGGAACGTATCAATTCTGGCAGTTACCGGAACATGCTTCTCGAGTGTGACTGGAGAGCCAGCAATTTATCTGGCCGGCCAAGATCAGCTGACCCCAGGTCAAATTATGGTGTTGTGGAAAAGCTGCTGAAAACATATGAGACATCAGCGGGGCCTGTGCCGTGGGATTCTAAATGCTCTCAGGAAAGTTGGCCCAAAGGTGACAGTGACATCAGTGCTAGTACCACGTCAGGTCAACACTTAGAAGGGATTCGAGTGGAGCAAGAGTTTCAGTCAACGATGGCGTGGTGTGGGGGACAGCAAGTGAAGCAAGGAGCAGATCAGAGAAAGGTGCCAGAGGTAAGAAAACTCATGGTGTGGTAGGGCTGAATCTGGGTTTACCACAGGTTCCGGGCCCATTCAGTGGCCCATCATATGATCAGAATGCAGACACTTGTTTTGGCATCTTCCTAGCTTCTTGATTCTTTGTGAATAAATGTAACTGAACATGAACTTAATATGTAATTTTTAAGACTGGGACCAACACATTGTAACTTTTTTAAAGTGAGTAAATGACATTAATCTAATAAGTACATTTAAGAACTTTGAGCAGATCAAAGATCTGCTGTCTTTTTTCTAAATTAATATTATAAATTTGTGGATTTACATAACTTTACTCTTCAAAGGTTTATAGTTTTAGGATATAGAAAATATTTGTCAAAGAACTTTGCAACTATTAAATATGATTGGTTCAGTCACACTTAGCATCTGGATATGTTCTCCTAGGGTGGGCCACATAATGTGAATATTGGTAAAACACAAATTATAAACAGTGCTTCATAAAGTTCTTTGATCTGTGGAACTAAAAGACAACATATAGGAAAAGGTTATTATTTGCATATTCTTAGCTTGAAAATTATCAAAAAGTATTTAACTAAATTGTTACCCTTTTTTATCCTGTCCATTTAAAACAAATCTGCATTAAGTATAAGAGAAAAAGAGATCAAAGAAATTGCTATTTAAAATGAAGAGCTATAAACTAATTCCTTTTAGTGCATGGCAGTTTTTAAGAACAAAATTTACAAAAAGTAAAGTTATATTGTTAGTCAGTGTTGCAGAAATTCTAACTATACATGATGTAGTCTGTATTTTAAGCCTTCTGATGTAAAAAAAAAAGTTGTCTTTTAAATTCTTTAAAAATACCAGTTTTCATCTATCTTATCAGAAATGCTACCCATTCTCATAGGCTAAAATTAATTACATGCATTTGTATTTCTTTTTTAGTTAGGCCTATTGCTATAGCTAGAGATAGGAAGGGGAAAATGTGTGGATTAGCCAACAAAAACTCATTAATCAATAAGGAATGCAAAATATTTTTTTTCTTTTTCTTTTTTCCATTGATTGAGGATTTGTGGCAGGCATACTATACTATAGATTCTTAGGTTAGGAGTGTTTTTCTTTGGTTCTTTTGTTTTCTCCCTAAATAAATTTTAAAAATAAATTGCTATAATTTGTTCTTTTTTAGTACTGGGGACCTTGCACTTGCCAGGCAGGCGCTTAAGCGGCTGAGCTCTCTCCCCAGCTCAAAAGTAAATCCCTAAAGAGAAAAAGAAAAACCAGGTTATCATCAGACCACAACTGAAATCACAGAAACTAAGCCCATCTCACATCAAAGAACAGATTTGTTAAGAAAGTCAGTCAGATGCAAGTGTATAAAGTGAAATGGAAGCTTTCTCATTGCTTAATTGTTAGCATCAAAGGAAGCTATTCTTCCATCAAAATAAAAAGGAAGAGGGAATGAAATGAAAGAAAGGAAAGGAAAGGATTTTCAGCTACTGGGCGATAGCCGGTATAGATAGCAACTTTCTGTGAACAACTAGAGGGAAATTGTGTTTAAGTATTTTAGGGATTCGGTCGAGGTTAGTGTACAGCAGCTGCCAACTATGAATCAGGTCCTGTCACTCCTCCTCTGCTAAACACACAAGGAAGTCTTCATGGTAGTTTGACCCAGTGACTCCCCTTTTAGGTATCTTCCCAAAAGAGTTAAAGACATCACAATACAGTGATCCACACATTGCCATGCTTACATGAACATAATCTATAAGAGCCAAATCGTGGAAGCAGCCTGTATCCTTACGAACAGAGAAGTGGATAAAGAAAATGTGGCGTTTGTACACAGTGGAGTACTACTCTGCCATAAAGACAGACAAACTTGAATCCTTTGTAGGAAAATGGGTTTAAGTGACATAAATCAGACACATAAGCTTAAATATGTTTATATTTTCTTTTTCTTTTGGCGGGACCAGGGATTGAACGCAGGCCCTGGTGCTTGCCAGGAAAGCATTTATTCTACTGAGCTAACTCCCTGGCCCCATTATGTTTGTATTCTATGAAGAACCCAAAATATAAATAATGGGCAAAAGAAAAGATAGTAGGAAGTAGAGAGATAGATATTTCTCAAGTAGGAAGAGGATCAAGAGGTGGAGAAAATGAAGAAACACGGGGGAAAGAGAATTTTACAAAGGAACTAGGACATTTTATGTACATGTAACAACTCCCCATGAGGGGTGGAAACTATTTACTGTAGACATGGACTAATCAAAATTAACTAATCAATCAATCAATTTCTTGTGAAATAGTCAGTGCATAGTTTTTATTTTGGTTTTAGTTTGTTTGCTTTGTTTTGTCTTGTTTTGTTTTGTTTTGTTTTTGGTACCAGGCATTGAACTCAGGACCTCTCTCACCTGCCAGGCAGGCACTAAAGCCACTGAGCTATCTCTCCGGCCCCCTGAGTTTTTTGAAAAGAAGTTCAAATGAGTCACTTGGTTTGTCTGCTTTTGATTTATGATCTCTAAAAGTGTCAATGAGACAAGTGAAAAGTTTCTAGACTGGGCATGGTGGTGCACGCCTGTAATCCCAGCACTTGGGAGGGACACTGTGAGTTTGAGGCCAGGCTGGGCTACAAAGTGAGGTCAAGAGTAGCCTGAACTCCATAGTGAAAACTTGTTTCAAAAAGACAAAAAAAAGAAAGTTTCTTCCATAAATATCCCATTAAGAAATGGCCTAGGTGCAGGATGTTGTTTACTCGGACATTTGACTCATGTTCATAGTTCTACAAAGAGATCAATTATATTAAAATCCATACAAATTCCATATTAAAATTGGAAATGATATTAAAACACAGCATATAAGGCTACTAATAGTAGACAAATACATTGTTTAGCTTTGAGTATTTCTCTTACTCAAAAGTTTCCTGAGATCCCATACTTGCGATCTGTAGTGTATGAAGCCCGTTGTAGTGCCCATGCAGCTAGCTTAATGCCTTCTTTTGTGTTCTAGGAATCTATGGCTATGAAAGCCATGCAGGGAAAAGGATTTCTGCGCCCTGCTAGGCCAGCACACCGCCGGCCCCCATCCAGATGGGCATCCAGGTCTCCATCAGCACCCCCTGCCTTGCGGAGAGCTGCCCCCAGCTGCACCATTTCTCTTCCAGCTGAAACGCCAATGGTTTAAGTCTGTAGTCTGGATTACTAGAGCATGAAAGTTCTATTCCTGATTGCCAGACCAAATGTTCTGAGTGTTTACGGCTAGTCCTGTTCTCTCCTGGATCTTTCAAGATTACTAGGACAAACAATTTAAATATTAACTTTCCATCAGTCTTCAGTGTTTTTAACCTGTGGAATAATGATCTTTTTGTATTTTTATTTCTTAGATCAGAATTTTTAGTGTCATATTCATTAATTCCCCTATATGATTTAAGTTGAAACAATGTACAATACTGTATATTCTAACTTTCTTGCAAGTGGCAGAAAGCAAGGTTATATGCATGGCCAAGTGTTTGTAGATGCATGTCTTTCAATAGAAAGTACTTGTATGTATTTAGATAAGAAAAGCTTATGTGCTAGTGTTGACTTTGAAATTATAATATGTACACCTATATATTCTTTGTGTTTATTTAAAAGTTTTGAAAATATACAGTACTATTTATATTTTGTATACCTTTTAGTAGGTATCTGCCTAAAAGCATTCGAAGTTCATATATTATTAATCACTTCCTTGACCCACAAGTACATCGAAAAATAAGAATTATGTATATATCTAACATCACAGGTTTTCTAAATACACCTTATGAATGACTTCTTAACCTATTTATAAGGATCAACTAATGCCACTGATTTACTTGTTTATTCTTTTAAGTAAGAGTCACAAGTTTAACAGATGAGCCTTCTAAAGTGAGCATAAAATATTGATGAATGCTTTTGTATATACCATGCGGTGGTCTCAGATGGCTTTAGCTGTGTACTTTTGATTTTCTGAGCCAGTGTCGTGAGACTGCCTTATGAACAACAGAACTAAAGAATGAATTTGTCAACCTCAGTAAAAAATATTCCTTAAATGGGATGCAAAAATCTTTAAATCACGTTGAATTTTCCTTTTTTTTTTTTTTTTAATTGGGGTTTGCTTTATCTGGAGTCATACATAAAGGTAAGTTATTCCTTTTTCCCTTTCTTAACTTTTCCCCTAAACTAGTAGAAGGACTAATTCAGGGGTGTTTTTTTTTTAATTAACAAGGAAGGAAGATCAGGAATAATGTTTCATTGAGAACTCTGGATTACAGTATATTTCTTATGGTGTGCTATCAAAACAGAAAAAAGCCTTAAACTAAAGTTTGGCACCAATAGTAGCATAAGGAACAAAAATGTGCATCTTGGCTACAATTTACATACAGAAAATGAATAAAATTTATTGAACTGATATAAATAGAAACATTGATGGGCTCAGAATTTTACAGAAGAGCAACTTTTTCACTGCTGTCTCCATTTACAACAAATTTTATTATGATGTTAATTAAATACTAACTATATTTAGGCTTTTCTTTTCTGCCAAAGATGTCAAGAAATTCTTGCATCTGTTGCGATGAAGGGCCTTCTGCTTATGATACTCTAGTGTCTTATAGGAACTCACTTTATGATAAATCACCTGGAGGCAAAGTAAATGATTTGGGAACTGCAGACAGACTTAAAGACACAAGACTGTAGCACGGTGATGGTTGCAAATCGGGCTTCACAACAGGAGAATTCCAGGAGTTAAACTGAGTTGATTTTCTAGAATGAGAGTTGGGATTGGAAGCTACTTAAAGGCTACAGACCACTCTTCTAACTCTAGTTCCTTTCAAGAGACAGCTTTTTCTACAAGAAATCTATGAAAGAAAAGGAACCTAGACACAAAGTGGTAGCACCCTAATTATGTGCTTGATCTACTGGAGGGGAGAGGTGCTGGCAGGTGATACCCTGGACTGTGAAAGATGGGACAGTTAGGGAAATCATGGGGTGCACAGTGGGCTCCAGTGTGTCTCTTCCTTTCTGTTCCTGTGTCCCAGGCAGCCTCACGGCATCTGTGGTTCCTACCTTTACCTACCCACCGGAATACTCAGGATCTCTTTTCTAAAAAATGCATTTCCTGGGCTCTTCCCCATAATTACTAAAGCAACATTTCTGGGAGTCGGGACTGATATCCTGGTGTCTTTAATAAAACCAAACCAAAGTAATGCAAAGTATTTGATGAGCAGCCAGATTTGCAAGCAATGATTTGAACGGATATCCGAACTGATAGTCATCCTGGTTGGTCGTTTTCTTCCCTGAGACCTACCTTTGTGACCCAGAAACAAAAAGACTCATTCACTAAACTTCACACTGTTAATCCCTTTTCCTTTATCATCTGAATGAACAACCAGGACCATTTTAACATCCTATGTTGACTACAATTATACAATATTGAATCTGAAAAAATGAGTATCACATCCAAACCCCTGAATGCAAAATGAAAGGTCTGTGTTCTTCTTTTAAATATTTTAATTCTAATTGAAAAACGTATCAGGTAAAGGGAAACTATCCTTTCAAACGTTTTCACTGTATTGTGATTTGTAACTCATAAATTTTCTACTTGAGATCAGTATTTTCTTCCCCAAGTTTACCTTTCATGGTCCGATCATGGCTGGACTTAAGGGATTTATTGATATTTATAGAAACTTTTAAGTACCCCTGTTTATAGCTGTTTTCCCTAGAAGAATGCTGGGAGGACAATCTTACATTATTTCACAAAGAGTTACTGATATTATCAGCTGAGCTGAGGACAAAGCAAGAATGAAATAGGAACCTGCTGACTTCCTGTGTGTGCCGTGGGCCTCCTGCTCTCCCGGAAGTGCTCCACACAGCCTCGCGTCCCAGAGCCAGGGTAAGACGTAGATGATGCTCACGTAGTTCACCGCTTGAAAACCTGTGTACAATCTTCACTTGGTTTTACGTGGAGACAGTAAAGACGCCCTTTCCTTTGGCCGGTGTTACCCTGAAATATGATTTATTTCAGTTGTGGTGATTCAACCTGGGTCCCTATCCTTTTGGCCTAAGAAAAGGATCTGGTTCCCTGGAAAGATCTCTAAAATTATTTCTAGGCACACTTGCTAATCAACAGTTACTTGATATTGAAATCTCCTTCAATTCTTGGAAGTTACGAAATAAAATAAGTTTGGAAACACCCTCTGTGGCTTTTGTGTACATTGAGAATGCACCTATTGTCCGCTTGTACAATGCATTCTGGTAAAGCTGAGTCTTAACAAATTTAAATTCAAGTACTTCAAACACAGCTTCTACCTTCAAACAGAATTTCATACCAACCTGCCTGTTCCCTGCTGCTAGGCACAGACAAGCCCGTGCAGTTTCTCATGCAATGATTGCCGCTGCTCTGTGCTCACTTAACTGCTCATTTAATTAGATAAAAGTCTTCTTTGTCTGAGACAGAGATTCACTGTGCAGTTCAGGCTGTCCTTGAACTCACTTTGTAGCCCAGGCTGGTCTCCAGCTCACAGCACTCCTCCTGCCTCAGCCTCCCAAGTGCTGGGCTTACAGGTGTGGGCTACCAGGCCTGTCTAGCAGTCTTCTTTGAAAAAAGCATTTACTTCTGAAATTTGCATTTGTGTCATGAAATTGGTTAGATATTTTAGGCAGACTCAAATTACTAGTATAGTTCTAGTTTGCTTTGAATTCTCCGTGTTTTTCTTTAATGGCAAGTGCTTTAATCAAAATTTAAGACTGTATCCCACTTGCTTCACTTAGGAAATATGCTTCTTCAAAAAGGGCCTTCATCATGCAAAAGAGTTTTTTAAAAATTGTGAAGAGGAACCTGAGGAAAGCGCCAAAGATAACAGCTACTCAATTATTTGATACATATTTTTTTTCATATCATAGGAAATAATTTTTTGTTTCTGTGGACTTAAAATTGAATCCATATTTCAAGGGTCTAATGAATCCAAAGAGTTAGATTGGCTAATTCTTTTTTAAAAAGAACAAGAAAAATCTAGATCTAGTATGGAGCTTTGAGGTGTGAAGATTAGAGAAGAGTTTGGTTAGGAGTCGCTTGGAACAGGCTGGCTGTGTGTCTGTTTTTGTGCTACTGGGGGATTCAGCCCAGGGTCACTCTGGCACTAAGGTATATCCTCAGCTTTTTGTATTATTTATTTTGAGAAAGGGTCACATAAATTCCCCAGACTGGCTTTGCTCATGGGACCCTCCTCCCTCAACCTCCTGTGTGGTTGAGAGTCCAGGTGTGTGCCACCAGGCCTAGCTAGCAACTTGTTTAAAGGCAAAGGCCCTGAGACTCAGTGTGTGTGGCTTCGGTGTGACAAGGGCAACATCTGAGTCAGGCCTCCGACACCAAGTCCTCGTTCCCTGCATAAGTGCTCCAGAAAGGGTAATTAGAATAAACGTTTTGAGATGAGAAATAAAAATGAGAAGCTTTTCACACTCTTTTAGACTCTCTCAATCCAGTCTTCTTTTCCCATGCAAAGGGAAGAGGAAGACAAAGAGTGAACACATTTTTTTCACTATTGTCCTGTTGTGTTTTAACATGACACTGGAATTATTTTATTCTTATTTACTTATAATTTTATGATTTTAGTCAAAACTCACCACTCTTTTTTTATATGGCTTTCACAAATTCAAGAGATGTACAAGCTGATTTTAAAGAAGCCTAAAATCAGTGCCTGTCCTCTGATTCTGTATCAGCTTTGTGCGTAGGACATGATGTTGAAGGAGAAGTCAATAAGCATCCGCTAACTGCTGGCCTTGGCCGTCCAGGAGTCACTGAGAGTTTCATGCTGTATAGCTTCATGCCCTGCAGGACAAAGGAGCACCTTCCTCATGAGGCACCACCTTGGTCCATTGTGCTGCTAGAAGCACACACCTGGAGAACTTACAAAGAACAGAAATGAGTCTTCACAGTGCTGGAGGCTGGGAAGTCTATGAGCAAGGTCCTGGCAGATTCTGTCTGTGGAGAACCATTCTTGGTAGCCAGGATGGTGCCTCAGTGCTGCACCTTACATGACAAAGGACAAATTCCATGTTCCTAGAGGCCAGAACAGCTCAAACGGGGTTGCTTGGTCTGTAGCCTCTTTCTGTAAGGCCTGAATCTTGCTCATGAGGGAGGAGCCTTTGTGCTTCAGTCATGGCCTGAGGTCCTTCCTGCTACTGCTACTGCCTCGGAGACCAAGTGAAGAGCGTAGGCACACATTCCAACCAAAGCAAGCAAGCAGTTACTTCCTGTCCACCTCTCGCTTGGGTTCCATTGTGCTCTGCTGTCAGTGCTTCTTTGCAGCTTCATATTCCAATTAAGTTATTAATTTGCACGCCAATGTTTTAAGCATCGTTAAACAAGTTTAATTCAGCTATTTGAGATCTGCACATTTTTTCCTACCTAAAGCTGATCAGTTTTTCCTACCTAAGGCTAAATAATATATTTCATTTCAATCTTTGTTTGAAATTTTGGATTTAAAGTTAACCCAGTGCTGGGTTGTTTGAGTTCATGTTTTCTGGAATGCAGCTGTTAACTTTTAATGAAAGCCAGAAATGTAGTCACAGTAGTTTTTTTTTTTTTTTTTTTTTTTTTTTTTTTTTTTTTTTTTTTTTTTTTTTTTTT